AAGAAGAGAGAAGAGAAGAGAGAAGAAGAAGAGAAGAAGAAGAGAAAGAGAGAAGAAGAGAAGAAGAAGGAAAGAAAGAGAAGAAAGAGAGAAGAAGAAAGAAGAGAGAGAAAGAGAAGAAGAAAGAGAAGAAGAAGAAGAGAAGAAAGGAGAAGAAAGAAGAAGAGAGAAGAAGAAAGAAGAAAGAGAAGAAAGAGAAAGAAGAAGAGAAGAAGAGAAGAAAGAGAAAGAAGAAAGAGAAGAAGAGAGAAGAGAAGAAAGAGAAGAAGAAAGAAGAGAAGAAGAAAGAAAGAAGAAAGAAGAAGAAAGAAGAAAAGAGAAAGAAAGAAGAGAGAAAGAGAAAGAAGAAGAAGAAGAAGAAAGAAGAAGAGAAGAAAGAGAAGAAAGAAGAGAAGAGAAGAAAGAAGAAAGAAAGAAGAAGAAGAAAGAAGAAGAAGAGAAGAGAAAAGAAGAAGAGAAAGAAGAAGAGAAAGAAGAGAAGAAAGAAAAGAAGAAGAAGAAAGAAGAAGAAAGAAAGAAAGAAAGAGAGAAGAAGAAAAGAAGAAGAAAAGAAAGAGAAAGAAAGAGAAAAGAAGAGAAAGAAAAAGAAAGAGAAGAGAAAAGAAGAAGTAGAAAGAGAAGAAGAAAGAAGAAAAAAAGAAAGAGAAAGAAAGAGAAAGAAAAGAAGAAAAGAAGAAGAGAAAGAGAAAGAAAGAAGAGAGAAAGACGAAAGAAGAAGAAAGAAGAAGAAGAAAGAATAAGAGAAAAGAAAGAAAGAGAGAAGGAAAGAAAGACAAGAGAAAGAAGAAGAAGAGAAGAAGAGAGAAGAAGAAGAAGAGAAGAAGAGAGAAGAGAAGAAGAAAGAAGAAGAAGAGAAGAAGAAGAGAAAGAAGAAGAAGAAAGAGAAGAGAAGAAGAAGAAGAAAGAGAGAAGAAGAGAAGAGAAAGAAGAAGAGAAGAAGAAGAGAAGAAGAGAAGAAGAGAAGAGAAGAGAAGAAGAGAAGAAGAGAAGAGAAGAAGAAGAGAAAGAAGAAGAGAGAAGAAAGAAGAAGAAGAAGAGAAAGAAGAGAAGAAGAGAAGAAGAAGAGAAGAAGAGAAAGAAGAAGAAGAGAAGAGAAGAAGAAGAAGAAGAGAAGAGAGAAGAAGAAGAGAGAAGAGAAGAAGAGAAGAGAAGAAGAGAAGAGAAGAAGAAGAAAGAGAAGAAGAGAAGAAGAGAGAAGAAGAGAGAAGAAGAGAAGAAGAAAAGAAGAAGAGAAGAGAAGAAGAGAAAGAAGAAGAAGAGAAGAGAGAAAGAAGAAGAGAAGAAGAAGAAGAAGAAAGAGAAGAGAAGAAGAGAAGAAGAAGAGAAGAAGAAGAAGAGAGAAGAAGAAGAAAGAAGAAGAGAAGAAGAAGAGAAGAGAAGAAGAAAGAAGAGAAGAAGAAGAAGAGAAGAGAAGAAGAGAAAGAGAGAAGAAGAGAAGAAAGAGAAAGAAGAAGAGAGAAGAAGAGAAGAAAGAAAGAAGAAGAAGAAAGAAGAGAGAAAGAGAAGAAGAAGAGAAAGAAGAGAAGAAGAAAGAGAAGAAGAGAAAGAGAAGAAGAAGAAGAAGAAGAGAAGAAGAAGAAGAGAGAAGAAAGAAGAGAAGAAAGAGAGAAAGAAGAAGAAAGAGAGAAGAAGAAGAAAGAGAAGAAAGAAGAAGAAGAAAGAAGAAAGAGAAGAAAGAGAAGAAGAGAAGAGAAGAAGAAGAGAAGAGAAGAAGAGAGAAGAAGAAGAGAAGAAAGAAGAAAGAAGAAGAGAGAAGAAGAAAGAAGAGAAAGAAGAGAAGAGAAGAGAAGAAGAAGAGAAGAGAAAGAGAAGAAGAAGAAGAGAAGAAAAGAAGAAAGAAGAGAAGAAGAAAGAAGAAGAGAAAGAGAAGAAGAGAAAGAAGAAGAAGAAGAGAAGAAAGAGAAAGAAGAAGAGAAAGAAGAGAAGAAGAGAAGAAGAAGAAGAAAGAGAAGAAGAAGAGAAGAAGAAAGAAGAGAAGAAAAGAAGAAGAAGAAGAGAAGAAAGAAGAAAGAGAAGAAGAAGAGAAAGAAGAGAAGAAGAAAGAGAAGAAGAAGAAAGAGAGAAGAAGAAAGAGAAGAAGAAAGAAAGAAGAGAAGAGAGAAAGAGAAGAAAGAAGAGAAGAGAAGAAGAGAAAGAGAAGAAGAGAAGAAGAAGAGAAGAGAGAAGAAGAGAAGAGAAGAGAAGAAGAAGAAAGAGAGAAGAGAGAAGAAAGAGAGAAGAAAGAAGAAGAGAAGAGAGAAAGAAGAAAGAAGAGAAGAGAAAGAAGAAAGAAGAGAAGAAGAGAAGAAGAAAGAAGAAGAGAAGAGAAAGAAGAAGAGAAGAAAGAAGAAAAGAAGAAGAAAGAGAAGAGAAGAAGAGAAGAAGAAGAGAAGAAAGAAGAGAAGAGAAGAAGAAGAAGAAGAGAAAGAGAAAGAAGAGAAGAGAGAAGAAGAGAAGAGAGAAAGAGAAGAAAAGAAGAAAGAAGAAGAGAGAAGAAGAAGAGAGAAAGAGAAGAAGAAAGAAGAAGAGAAGAAGAAGAGAAGAGAGAAAGAAAGAGAAGAAGAAGAAAGAGAGAAGAAAGAAGAAGAGAAGAAGAAGAGAAGAAAGAAGAGAAGAGAAGAAGAAAGAAGAAGAAGAGAAGAGAAGAAGAGAAGAGAGAAAGAAGAGAAGAGAAGAAGAAGAGAGAAGAAGAAAGAGAGAAAGAAGAAGAAGAAGAGAAAGAAGAGAAAGAAGAAAGAAGAGAGAAGAAGAAGAGAAGAAGAGAAGAAGAAGAGAAAGAGAGAAGAAAGAGAAGAAGAAGAAGAGAAGAAAGAAAGAAGAGAAGAGAAGAAGAAAGAAGAAGAGAAGAGAAGAAGAAGAAGAAAGAGAAGAAGAAGAAGAAAGAAGAGAAGAAAGAAGAGAAGAAGAGAAGAAAGAGAGAAAGAAAGAAGAGAAGAAGAGAAGAAGAAAGAAGAAAGAAGAAGAAGAAGAAGAAGAGAAGAGAAAGAGAAGAAGAGAAGAGAAGAAGAAAGAGAAGAAGAAGAGAGAAGAAGAAGAAAAGAAGAAGAAGAAGAAGAGAGAAGAGAGAAGAAGAGAGAAGAAGAAAGAAGAGAAGAAGAGAAGAAGAGAAGAAAGAGAAGAAGAGAAAGAAGAGAAGAAGAAAGAGAGAAGAAAGAAGAAGAGAAGAAGAAAGAAGAGAAGAGAAGAAGAAGAAGAAAGAAGAGAAAGAAGAAGAAGAAAGAAGAGAAGAGAAAGAGAAGAAGAAGAAGAAGAGAAGAAAGAGAAGAAGAAAGAAGAAGAGAGAAGAAGAAGAGAAGAGAGAAGAAGAAGAAAGAAGAGAAGAAAGAAAGAAGAAGAAGAAGAGAGAAGAAGAGAAGAAGAAGAAAGAAGAAGAGAAGAAGAGAAAGAAGAAGAAGAAGAGAAGAAGAGAAGAAGAGAAGAAGAGAAGAAGAAAGAAGAGAAAGAAGAGAAGAAGAAGAGAAAGAGAAGAAGAGAAGAAGAGAAGAAGAAGAGAGAAGAAGAAGAAAGAGAAGAAGAGAAAGAAGAAGAAGAAGAGAAGAAGAAGAGAGAAGAAAGAAGAGAAGAGAAGAGAAGAAGAAGAGAAGAAAGAAGAAAGAAGAGAGAAAGAGAAGAAGAAGAGAAGAAGAAGAGAAGAAGAAAGAGAAGAAGAGAAGAGAAGAAAGAAGAAGAAGAGAAGAAGAGAAGAAGAAGAGAAAGAAGAAAGAAGAAGAGAGAAAGAAGAAGAAAGAAGAAGAAGAAGAGAAAGAAGAAAGAGAAGAAAAGAGAAGAGAAGAAGAGAAAGAAGAGAAGAAAGAAGAGAAGAAAGAAGAAGAGAGAAAGAAGAAAGAGAAGAAGAAGAAGAGAAAGAAGAAAGAGAAGAAGAAGAAGAGAAAGAAGAGAAAGAAGAGAAGAAGAAAGAAAGAGAAGAAGAGAAGAGAAGAAGAGAAAGAAGAAGAAGAAAGAGAAGAAAGAAAGAGAAGAAGAGAGAAGAGAAAGAAGAGAGAAGAAGAAGAGAGAAGAGAAGAGAAGAGAAGAAGCGAAGAGAAGAAGAAGAAGAAAGAGAAGAAGAAGAGAAGAGAAGAAGAAGAGAAAGAAGAAGAGAAAGAGAAGAGAAGAAGAGAAGAAAGAGAAGAAAGAGAGAAGAAGAAAGAAGAAGAAAGAGAAGAAGAGAAGAAAGAAAGAAGAAGAGAAGAAGAAAGAGAAGAAGAGAAAGAAGAAGAAGAGAAAGAAGAGAGAAAGAGAAGAGAAGAAGAAGAAAGAAGAAGAAAGAAGAGAAGAAAGAAGAAGAAGAAAGAGAAGAGAAGAAGAGAAGAAGAAGAAGAAGAAGAGAAAGAGAAGAAGAAGAAAGAAGAGAAGAAGAAGAAGAAGAGAAGAAGAAGAGAAAGAGAAGAAGAAGAGAGAAGAAGAGAAAGAAAGAAGAAGAGAGAAGAGAAGAAAGAAGAAGAAGAAGAAAGAGAAAGAAGAAAGAGAAAGAAGAAGAAAGAAGAAGAAAGAGAAGAAGAGAAGAGAAAGAAGAAGAAAGAAGAGAAGAAGAAGAAGAGAAGAAGAAAGAAGAAAGAAGAAGAGAAGAAGAAGAAGAAGAGAAGAAGAAGAGAAGAGAAGAAGAGAAGAAGAGAGAAGAAGAAAGAAAGAGAAGAAGAGAGAAGAAGAGAAAGAAGAAGAGAGAAGAGAAGAAGAAGAAGAAAGAAGAAGAGAAGAGAAGAAAGAAGAAGAAGAAGAGAAGAAGAAGAAGAGAGAAGAAAGAAGAAAGAGAAAGAAGAAGAAAGAGAAGAAAAGAAGAAGAGAAAGAAGAAGAGAAGAAGAGAAGAAGAAAGAAGAGAAGAGAAGAAGAAGAGAAAGAAGAAAGAAGAGAAGAAGAGAAAGAAGAAGAGAAGAAGAGAAGAAGAAGAGAAGAAAGAAGAGAAGAGAGAAGAAGAAGAGAAGAGAAAGAAGAAGAGAAGAAAGAAGAAGAAGAGAAGAAGAGAGAAAGAAGAGAAGAGAAGAAGAACGCACTCTTTAGAGAAGCAGACAGGACAGACAGAGACTTGGCACAGATGTAGGGGTCATAGATCTAAGAAGCAAGGACCAGGAGAGTGTGAACTATGAAGAAGCGAGATAGGAGTGAAGAACTCAGACAGAAGACGGACAAGGCAGTCAAGACAAGAGAAGATCGGGGCAGAGTAGCACAGATGGACAGTAACCATGCCAGACTGGCAAGCGAGGAAGAGAGGAGGAGCACTTGCGTAGACTGACAGTCCAGAGAGAAGAGAGACCAGGAGAGGAAGAAGAAGAGAAGAAGACAGTAAGGACAGCGTACTTTCTAGTGTGAGGAGCGAGACGGGAGCCAGAGTGAAGACCCAGCAGGAGAGAGAAGATGAAAGAGCAAGAAGAAAGAGAGAGAGAGAGCAAGAAGAAGAGAGGAGCAACGTAAGAAGAACAAGACGAAGAGACAAGCGAAGGGAGAGAAGAAGGAAAGAGAGAAAGACCGACAGAAGAGATAGGAGCAAGGTAGGAAGCACGAACACGCAGTTGAGAGAGAATAGAGAAGGGAGGGACAGAATAGAAGAGGAGACAGAAAGCGAAGAGTCGTACGATAGAGACAAACAGAACGAGAGAGAAGAGTAGCAGAGAAGACTGAAGAGAGCGAGAAAGAGAGAGAAGACGTCTATCAAGATGAAGACGCCCGAGAGAGAGACAGCAGGACGAAAGGAGACAGAACGGAATGCTGTATGAGCGAGAGACGAGAAGTGAGACGTGCAAGGAGAGGAGGAGAGAGAGGCGTTAGAGTAGACAGAGCAGTTAGGACAGAGAGAGAAGGAAAGAGAAGAGAGAAAGAAGAGAAGAGAGAAAGAAGATGAAGAAGAAGCCAGAGAGAGGAAGAAGCAAGAAGAGAGAGAATAGAGAAAGAAGGAAAGAGCAGTGAGCATGAGGATGAGAAGTAGGCAGATAGAGAAAGATAGAGCAAAAGCACGAGAGAGATAGAAGAAGTGAAAGCACCAGAAG